TACTAAATTTATTTATTATGTCTGCTATTGTGTGGCTATATAATGTGAAGAACTGAATATTTGCCAGTGACACTTTTTTATTCGCTTCACCTATCCACTATATAGGCTTTTCTCATAGTGACTATGAAGCACGTTCCTGCCAACAATATGGTTGTAAATTTTTGTTATTCTTCATGATACCAACATATATTCCTAAATTTTCTAGCAATGCATTTTTCACTGAATTGGAAAGATAGAAACGTAATGCATTTATTATTTAATTGAAACACGTTCTTCAGAGTAGTACATACTGTATAAAAATAGTTATTTGCACTTTCCAGCTGTATAATGCATGAAGTCAAACATGCTGAATGAACATACACTGTAGAATCCTAAATGGTGCATTAGAATGAATATATTTTGAAGATCACTCCTGCTCATAAGAAAACATTAAGATGACTTCTGATGTCTAAAAGACATTAAACCAAATGCTGATATCCACAGAGAGTTTAAAATATATAAGTTTTGTACTTTAAAATCTTATTGGTAGGTTTTTGGTCAATAACAGGTATGCCCAAGCTTGGGAGAGAGATTGGACGAGGACAGTTTGGGGTTGTGTATTCTTGTGAATCCTGGGCTGGGTTCACTCCGTGTGCCGTAAAGTCTGTGGTGCCTCCTGATGATAAGCATTGGAATGATTTATCTATGGAATTCTTCTACACAAGGTAAAATTGATGGTAAAAACTGTAATTTTAAATTTGCTGATAAGAAGTGCATGCGTAAGTGATATGATTTCATTAAATACTTCTATTAAAGGCTAAGAATTGGAGAGAAGAACTAGAAATAACTAAAAATTGACCGAAAATAATTTTTAAATGTATATAATGCCCTTGTCATGATATAAAAGACACCTACTGTAGAAGAATCCTAAGCTCAACAACAACATAGTACATATTTATACTATTAACAAATATAATTAAAAGCCTTTTTATTTTGACAATTGATAAAGCACAGATTTTAGAATTCTGGAAAATTATTATGGTTGTTAGTAATTCTTACTTCAATATTTAATATTGATTATAGAAATTAGCATTGAATCTTAAAAAAATCTAAAGGTGCTTTATGAAAATATATGCAGTGGCGTAGCAGATGTTCCCCTAACCTCTCCGGTGCAGGGGGGGGG